CCAGGGAGAGAAGGGTGTTCAGTTCTTCTGTTAATCAGCTTCTTTCACATGTTAATACTGATGTTGCCTTTTCAGTCTCTACTATTCAGCCGTCTTAAGGTTAGAGAGTTTTCCGGAACACTCAGGTAGCCAACAGGCAAGTGTTGAGGTGGCAGCCTCTGCCGGAAGCAGCCTAGGGTGACAGATCTGCCCAGGGTTGTGGGAGGAGGGACCAAGGGAAGCAAGGCTAGCGAGAAAGCTGCTGAGCATCCAGGGTCCAGACGGTAGAACTCAGTCACAGCAGAGGCAAACAAGAGGGGAAGACTGGAAAATGTAGGACAGGAAAGAAAGAACTGAAGAAGGGGGAACGGCAGGTGAGAGCAAAGGATGTGTTTGCAAAGTGGGAATTCAACCAGCTGTTCTTGAATGAAACACTGTAGGATGGAGACTAGACCTTGGGAGAAGCTGGGCCAGCCACCTCCTCTGCCCAGTCATTCAAGCCCCTGTGGGATAAATCTGCAAGCATTTCAAGGAAGCATAACAAAGCTCTATGTTATAGGAATGAAAACCGAGGCCCAGGAATATGAATTTCTCCCGGGTTGCACAGCCAACTGGGGAGTATTAGATTAAGAATGGAAGTATTATTTTGAGTCCAAAGGCTGCTCAGCTCAAACCTCAGTGGCTGAGGACAAAGCAGCAGGTAAACATAGTCCCTGCCTTCAGAGACCTCCTAGCCTGTAGGAATACCATCAGGTCAGAACTTTATTATCCCTATTTTTAGAAGTGAGAAAGAATCAATGCCCAGAGAGATTAAATGACTTGTCTAGGGCAAAACAGTTAATAAAAAGTGATGCCAAGATTCAAACCCTAGTCTATCTCTAAATATCTTTGCCTCCCTATATTGTTATGTAATGTACTTGTTCCAAGAGTTAGTGGAATATACCTTAAACCTCACTCACAGAAAGGTGGTAGGTTTTTAGTCTGTTGTAAGCAAGGTTGAGGCAAGGCAGTCTGAAGGAGATTCACAGTTTTAGAGGTTTTGGTATGGGACATGGCTTTCAGGGAACATTCAAACCCAAGCCCTCGCAGGAGTTACAATGGAAGCCAGGTCATTTACCCGCTCTAAGACTTTTAAAAGAACTCACACACAGAGAATAAACTCGTTGACATATATACCCACACATATGATATAGACACACCCATAAAGTACACAAACGCACAGCATTCCACAGCCAGTGACTTCCCAAATTATCCTCTGCTTTCTGTGGAAGTTAAGTCACTTACTCAATTAGGGCGAATTACCAAAGCCACCTGTCTCTTCTCAACAAGTACGCAGAACTTGTCTTCAAATTACCTAACATATCAACGAGAAAACGTTCTGACTTACATCTAACTTAATTTGTGTTTAGTACACTTACAAGCTCAGGAAAGCAGGCAGGGGAGCTGAGATCTCAAGCCCTCATCTCTGAGGGCTGGAGAATGCCACACAACACTCTTCCTGGTGTCTTGCAAGACCCTGCTACTACTCACTCAGCTCCACTTGGGTGCCAGAAAGATCAGTGTTCCAGTAAGGGGTGTTATGGCGTTGGTATTCAGTGTGTCCCTCTGCGAGTTCCTAGTTCTAAGCCTGTCTCCTCCTCTCCCCGCTAGCTCTCTGATCCCAAGCAGCTGACCAGGTTCTCTCCAACAGACGAGGGAGGGAAAGAGAGTACCTGCTCCTGTGCAAGCAGGAAATTACAACAGATGCTTCGGAAACCTTCATCCTGCCTCCCTGCTTCCAGTAAAGTGTCTGAAGAAGAGCAAAGTTCATAGGTTTGACCTTTCCCCTACATGGTCGAGCATCTAGCTTCCAACCAATCCAACCTATAATTACCGTCTTTGGCCATCACAGGAAGGAGTTGAAGAAGAAAAAAAAAAGTCAGATGTTTTCTGCATAAAGGCAGGCCCAGGCATCATTACCCACGTTGCTAGGTGTTGTTAAGCCACCCACCTGGCCTCAGAGTGGGCAGCAATTAATGTAATTAGCGCAGTGATGAGTATCCTCCACAATGATAAACAGCTCAGCCCTGCAGAACTTGACAGACCTGTTGTTCTCAGGAGGCTCCTGACCCTGCGCATCCACCAAGGGGAGTGGCGGAGTGCAGTTGAGTAAGGAAGGAGTCCTGCCTTTGAGTCACGTGGCAGACGTAAATCCTGCCTTTGCTAAGTCCTCTTTGTGTGGCAGAGGGAGTTACCACAGTGTTCTGAGCCTTAAGTTTTCTTATCTGTAAAATGAGGATAATAGTATTCTCATAGGATGATTATTGCTATCTTTATCATCAATACTATCATCATTACCACATCCCTCATCATCCTTGTCTCAAGCCTACACCAGGCTGGCGTGGAACTACAAAAACTCAAGAGCTGGGGAAGCCCCGTCTCTTTTTTCTTTGGCTCACTGAAGAGAGAGTACTAATAAAAGTGGTCGTCAGAAAAAAATCTGGAGTACTAAATTCAAAAAGAATCTTCAGAAGTACTCCTTGATCTGAGGAAGCTAATGTTACAAATAATTGCCCTTGGTATTCCTACTGACACAAACTCAAGCAAGGCAGCAGTTGATGGTTGGTAAGAACCTAGTCGGCTCAGAACCTAGTCTAGTAAAACCATGTGGAGGATGAGGAGTCTCACAAGTGACCTCGGATTATCCCAAGTCAGTGTGGCGGCAGATGAGTTTACTAGTGAGTACTGTCTGTTTCAGATCTACACAGCCTAGAAGATGAGGGAGGAAGACCTTCAGAGTGGGGCCCTGTAAGCACAGATAGGGTCCCTTGAAAGGAGAGCTCTGAGAAGATCTGTAGGTGGAGGGGAAGCCAACGGGAGGAGGACAGACATTCTACCCAGAAACACTAAAGGGTTAATTTGCAGTCTGATCAAGGGCTGGGCCATATAGACTCTAGGCGCATGCATACTAGCCAGTGGGAAATGACAAGAGACAGAGAAAAACCATTTTGGGATCCTGAGACCTTCAGACCGAGAAAGGACCAGAGAACAGTGTTTATCAGTTTGGGATTCCTTCACAGGGAGCATGGTAATAAAATCCCCAGCTGATAGTTGTCCCTTTACCCTTTTCTGTCATAGAGTGAGGTTGCAACTATTAATATTAGACAATAAATTTGAACCCACTTTGTTTAATAAAACAGATGTTAGAAGTCCATAATACTGGTAAAGACGAGTGATCTGGCCAAGGCTCCATGATGAAGAAACTGAGACTTAAAGTGACCTTACTACTCGCCACTAGAGCACATGCTCCTTGCTCAGTTGGGATGAATGTCTACAAACCAAACCGCACGTAAGATGAAGTACCCAAGGCTACCCATGCTTTAGTTTCTGACATCAAATGCTCATTTAGACGCAGGGATAGGGACCACGGTACCTAGAAATCATTGTTCATTAGATTTCTGTGATCGGCTTGGATATAAGAAACACAACAAAGAAGTCACCAACACCACATCACCACCAGCAACAAGAAATCTAATCGTGCAGGGGATTCAGTGGCACAGGGATTTAGCAGGCATGGCAGAAGGGGTTCTAAAAATGTCTTGTGTGGAGTTCTGAGTCCTCCAGATATGAGAAGAGCCTGTGCCCATGCAGTAATGGAAAAAAAAAAAATCCAACAGAGTCTCTAGTGACACTGGAACAGGTATTGAAGAACAAAATTCCTTTAGCAGTATTGGCCAAGTGCAGACTCCACAGAGAAAAGTGCTCAACATCTGGTCACTGATGGGGCCTCTTTTCTTGCCTGGGATTGGTCCCTATCTCTCTTCTGGCTCATGCTACTTCTTCTCTGTCTGTTTTATGTATTACATCGTCACCCTTCCTTGATGCTTTCCCTTAAGACGGTCCTCATTGTTCATCTTCAGGACCAGATGGGTATTTGGAGATCTCCCAGAGATACAGGTTCAATAACTCCCATCAGATACTGTTTACATATTCAACATAATCCCATTGTACGTACTTCCTGCCCAGATATTTCTACCCATAGCATTTATTTACTATTGTGATCTATGCTGATTGGTTGATTTCTTATTTCTGCATAGCAACTATAACACTGGCAATTACCTTTCATATTTGTTAGGTATTTGCTATGTCAGCTGGTATCATATGGACACAGAAACTTGCTGAACATTCACAATCTGAAATAGATTCTCCCATGAGCCTCCTTTATAGATAAGGGGTACTGAGTCAAGTCTGTACACGGAGTAAAGGATACAGACAGAAATCCCTTCCCAGCAACCTAGGGACAGAAACTAGCACATAAACCATAAAAAATATGGAAGCTACATGCCTACTGTACAGCACTCCATCCTCGTGGCCTTGTCAAAGTCTGTCATGGAGCAGTGTTCAGTGGGCAGTTGTTGGGAGGTAAGGAAAAAAGGTACAGAGGGATGGAGGGAGGGAGGAAGGAAAGAAGGGAGGGAGGAAAAAAGGGACAGAGGGAGGAAGGAAAAGAGGGAGTGAAGAAGGGAGGAAGGGAGGGAGGGAGAGAGGGAGGAGGGAGGGAGGGAGGGAGGGAGAAGAGGGAGGGAGGGAGGGAGGGAGGGAAGGAGGAAAGGAGGGAGGGAGGGAGGAAAGAAGAAGGCTGCTTGTTTGCCTCTCCTGGTTGAAGAAGGATGGAGACCCCATGATCTATCTTGCCATACTTGGGAGAGACAGGTGCATCCCTAGAGATACAATGGAGTCATACACTATCTCTGAAAGCTTACAATCCTTAGCTTGCCTGCAGACGAACCCTGGTGCTACCTCAAAGGGTCCAGAGGTTTGCCTTGGCTACTGGAAGTTCAACTGCAATGTAACACTTCTGCTCTAGGGACCCCATGCTGAATCCTTAGAGAACAAAGATGATCATCAGGCACCTTGTTCAAGGAGCTCACAGGCTGGTAAAGAAGAGGGACCCTAAAGCAAAGGAGGAGAGTACAGAACCTAATCAGGCTAAGAAGGGAAGGAAGGACAGGGGCACAGATACATCTCTTACTGACTACTACCTCTGGGATTGATCGCCTATCCTGATAATGAAGTCCAGAAGATTGTGGAGGCCTGAAAGAAGGTAAACAAACAAGGTGAATGTGGCCTGCACTGCTCTAATGCATAGTACTGTAACCCAAGTTATAGCAAGACAGGGTTACCGCAAGGCTGATGACCAATGGGATGGCAGCAGTATAAGAGCCCCCTCCCCCCCGGAATGATAATAAATCTTAGAAGAGCTTACTGTGCAGTGTCTCTTTTCTTTGAGCATATTCTCTGTCTCACTCAGGAGCCTCATCCTTTCTCAGCCTCTGTCAAGCCGACTTTGCCAGCTTCAAAGGATAATTCTTTATTAGCTGTAACATGTAAGTGCGGATGTATTTGCTCATTCTAATTCAACAGGTCTTTCTAATTCTTTCAGTTTTATCTTAGCATTGTGGCCATGGTTTTGTAACAGGTTGTATGGTCTGCCCCAAACTGGGCTTTGCAAAAAACCAGGTATTTTTAATGCTCAACTCTGCAGAACACAAGCTGTTTCAGGAATACACATATCAACACATACATGCTGCATGACATATGTACATCAAAACAGAAATGTTATCAGTTTAGCAGCGACTTTTCCACTTGGTATTGTTTGCCTTCCCATCGAAATTCTCTGAGGTAATAAACAATCACCATCATCATCTTCCACATGACAAAAACAGGCTTAGGGTTCTTAAATGATTTACCTTATGATGAGAAATCAGGCCTTGAGCCCCGTTTTCAACTCCATCTACTCGGGCTTCATTTTACCCTCAGCACTTTGTGGCCAGCAAAGGGATGATAAACTAGTCTAGAAAAAGTCAACACCATCCCTATCGTCTATTTGGTGATGCTCATAAATACGGTCTGAAAAGTAAAGCAAGAAACAAACATCAAGGGAAAGACGAAAATTAAGTTGTGTTTAAGTTCCCACCACTAGCTAGGAATGTCACTGATTTTGTTTTTTGAACCATAATTTTGTGCCCTATCAACAGAGGCTCTCTATCACTTTCACAATAAGAGGCAATGTTCAGTCATACATGAACAAATCTATTTAATGATTCTGTATTTATATTTACACTTGCCTAAAAGTCTGAGCAAACAACCACTTGTTATCAATGAACTGTAGTTCCCAACACAACCCAATAACAATTGTGTATCATCTCCCATAAATATCTTTGACTTTTCAAACAGTAAGACATGTAAAGAGAAGAATTAAATGGATTTTAAATATGTTAGTGGACACATAAAATGGAACGATTGATGGGTGAGTGACTGAAATTTGAGAAATCTGATCCTGATAAGTGTAATATTGAGTTGGAAGTGTCGTGCCCAGCCTGCCGAGCGCTGACCACACCCACAGGGTATTTAGGGTCACACAGGAACAAGGAACATGTGGTTTTGGGTTTGTGCGTGTGTTCCCTCTGTCTTCCCCTCGCCATGCTCACCTGGCCACCGGGGAGTGTGCCGTCTATTAAACAACACGGGCTCTTAATTTGGTTTAATCTGGTCTGATTGGCGTTCTTTTGTGTCGGTGGAGCGGCTAGTCCTAAGATTTTTCCTAACAATAAATTACTGTCTAAGACGTTTATGTGGGAAGCATATGATCGGTTCTCCTAAGCTCTATCAGCCCGTACTTTCCAAACTACTTGGAAGAGAATGGAAATTAGAACATGCCTGATTTCCTGGCCAACATTTTAAGTAAATTAATCTCTCTTCTCTCTCCTTCATCACTTGCCTCACCCCCCCCCCATCTCAGATTTTGCCTGTATATATGTCTGACCATCACAAGCATACCTGGTCTCTGTGGAAACCAGAAGAAAGTGTCAAAATCCCTGGAACTGAAATTACATATGGACGTGAGCTGCTTTGTGGGTGCTGAGAAACAAGGCTGGGTCCTTAGCATGAGCCTCAGGTGCTCTTAACTGCTGAGTCATCTCTCCAGCTCTTTAATGCCCTGGGTCACTGGGTGTGCTGATTCAGGGCTGCACTTGGCTCTGCTGGCCTGAGGAAGCGACAGAAGATGACACTGCAGTTTGTAAGGATCTTCTCAGAACCTAGTGAATATTCCCAACTGACTCAAATATTTGCTGGCTGGGTTATGCAAAGAAACGATCAAAGACTCCGGGTCCACCCATGATACCTGACTTCTTCCCATTCCATTTTTGGCCACCAAGTTATTGTGTCACTCAGCTAACTCACAGCTGGGAATTTCAGTGACAAATCAGTTTCTAGAAGTGTAGACAAACCCTGCCCAAAATGGTCATTTTGGCAAAAGCAATTTTTCTGTAAGTTAGGAATACCTGCTTAACATAAGCACCTGAGCCTTCCAATTCTGGAAACTGGGGCTTTATAACAAGTGGCAACCATATAAACAGATGGCATGAAATAGCCTCTGGTTTTTGCTTATTATTAGTGCCCCACCAGGAGCTGCACAAGCCAAGTTGGTTTAAACTTTTACCTGCCGTGCCAGGCAATGAATACTCTGGTTGAAGGGCCATTTTTGCATTGCTGTGTTCAGTATTTCATGCACTGAGTTTGTATTTTTTTTTTCAAAATGCATAACACAGCTTCAGATGATGCCAAGTGCAGCCTCCTTGGCATGTACCCTTCCTCTTGCTTTATTGGTTTTGATCGCATCTACTGTGGTAGATTACTATTCAGAAAACGCTGCCTCTTTTCCTTATACAATCTCCACGATTTACCAGAGCGAAGCTGGGGCCTTGAAAAGCTTGGTGTCTGCCCACCTCCCATGTTCTGGGCCCTGAAACTGTATCCCCCCATAGAGGTTGCCTCTCTAACAACCACAATGACCACATTAGGAAGCCTGGAGTTTGACCCAAAGCCCAGCTTCTCCAGCTTGCATATCACATATGCACGCAACACTACAACAAGGCAGTAATTCCAGGAAAAGCCATCATGACATAGAAAACCACAGGGGTGGTTGGAAGGCACAGTGGACAGCAGAAAAGACTGAATGGGGCCTGGGGAAGGCTAAGCCGCCTCCACTGACTACAGGCCAATGAGCAGAAAATAAAGTGCTTGGGGCTGGCTGAAGCTTAGATTTTTGTGGTGGTTTGTTTCCTGATAATTGCTGGTTAGTTGACCCATTTTGCACAACACGAACGTAAAGCAATCATCTTAGTTTTAAAGAAAAATCCCCTTTCCCATCCAAGTACTAGCCAGGCCCTGCCCTGCTTAGCTTCTGAGATCAGACAAGATGGGGCACATTCAGGGTGGTTGCAGAAGCAAACTTTCCTCCCCTCCAATTAAAGTGGCTAATAACCACCTGGTTCAAGCCATTTCCTTCTCTTTTCTCTATCTCTAGGATTAAATGAGCAAATATATGTTAAAAACAACACAAAACATTTTAATATAATGCTGTCCACCTAAGAAAGGACTCACAAGGCATTTTTATTAGTAATCTCCTACCAGCACGCTCATATACTTGCAGGGTGGTTTGGTTTGGTTTCTGGTTTTTGTTTTTTTGTTTTGAGACATTTTAAATTCACTGTGTAGACCAGCTAGGCCTCAAACTTGTAGCAATCCTTCTGTCTCAGCCTCCAAAGCGCTGGAGTTACAGGTATGTACCACCATGCGTGGTTTATGGCTTTTTCAATTTATCCAAAAATAAAACCATGTTTACATGGTCTCATTTATGGCCTTATAGCTTACTTTTCTTACTTAAAGCCATCAATGGGCTCCTCCAGGTCTGCTCATAGTTTCAAGACAATTCATCTTTCAAAGCGGCTCCATGACAGTCCATGGGTTGAATTATAATATTCGAGCAAACTGTAAAATTGGCTTGTTTTGCCTCTTTTCATTTTCCAGATAGAGAATCTAAGATTTATACTGCGAAATATCAGCTGCCCTCCCGATCAGACCCCACATTCTCCTTCTGTGTCGGGCTCCTCTTCGTGGCACGCTTCAGCCCACAGAGGATGAACGGCAGTGACCTCTGAGCAGTTTTAAGTGTCACTCAGTGGTATAACCTCTCTCTTTCGGTCCACACTAGCAGTGTCTCAGGCAGGGCTCTTCCAGGCTGCGCCTCAAGAGTAAACATTTGGGCCTGGATGAAGTGGAAATAGGCAAGCACAGAAAACAAACCCACGTTCTTCTAAGGCTCTGAGGTTGCTGATCACTGTTCCAACAAGATAGAAAATGTTGACCCAGCACTTCCAGACGTCCAAGTGTTTGGATGTTCACTGGAAACACCATCATGGTTAGCCATGTGCCAGAATGCTGGAGGAAGATATGGGTTGAAGGGATTACTGGGAACAGCGGCCTTCCTGGCATCTACAACATTATCGGTTACTTCCCCACTAATTGCCAAATCAGTAGGAGTGGACACAACAGTGTCACAGAAAAGGCAAGTCCCTGCAGCCCAGGACAAACCGTCACTTGTGTAGGGAAGGTCCTTAAGCAGGGACAGATCATAGAATCTGATTTCTCTTAAGCTGCATACTTCATACACACAAACACACAGACACTGTCTGTGATTAACAAAACCACCGGGATTTTTTAGAAGCCACAGGGAAGGCAAAGGCAATAGAGAGACGAAGCGAATGGGAGGTCGCCCTAAGTTTAAAGCTACCTTCACTGTGAATGAGCTCTGGACCCCAGCTCTCTCAGAGGACTTCTTTAAAGATGGATGGAAGATAGAGTCACAGCAATCATATAAAAATGTTTTTTTATTTTTAATTGGCAATGTAATACATGTTCACTGTAGAAAACCGAAACAAAGAATGTAGCATAATGGAGAAAGTAGGAACTACAACAAGTGTCAACATCTTGATGGCTATGGCACATCTGCTCTTAGCAGAAACTTTGCATATGACAACTGGCTACATGACAGAGCCTACCAAGGCATCTAAACATGTGCCTAGATGTATCTGTCCCAAGTTCCTCCTTCCCATCCCTCTGTTACAGCTCCAAACATGCCCTGGTCCCTAGCATCTAAGCCTTCATGAACATACCCGCTCTTCCTCTTCTCTTTGCTGCCTCTCCTTCCCTTGCCAATTTCCACTTACTTTGGAAGATTTTTATTAACCATTTTCTGCAAAGCACTTTCTCTTCAACCATCCTGGACAAAAGGCTCCTCCACCCAGGAATCCTATAGCTCAGGGCATTATCAAGCTGGGCACATCTCATCTTCCCTTCTTATCTATTTTCCTAGCTATACCTCAACCAGTGGTCAAGCCCTGAAACTGTTGTTTAGCTACGATTGCCAGTGGCTAACAGACACCAAACACTCAAAAATATTGAATGTATTAATAAAATATTTAGCAATATGTGATACTTGTATTCTGAAAGTCCTCCCCCCCAAAAAACCTGACATTTCAATACATGCCCACTCAAAGATTAAATACAGAAAAAAGACATACTAGTATGTCTCATGCAGCTTATAAACTCAACAGGAACACTCCAATATATAATTGGCACTATCCTCTTTCTTTTCAAGCTGGGACAGCCAGGACAAAGGCGCAAACCTCAGTCCATGTTTCTTCTCATGGAGGGTGTCCTAAAAGCACCTACTGGAATAAGAAGACATTGTCATCTCTACTCCAAAATTCCAATGGACCAGCACAATGAAACTGATTGGTCATTCAAAGTCCAGCAGGAGCTGGGCCTTGGTGGTGCACGCCTTTAATCCCAGCACTCGGGAGGCAGAGGCAGGAGGATCTCTGTGAGTTCGAGACCAGCCTGGTCTACAAGAGCTAGTTCCANTGGAGGGAGGGAGGAAGGAAAGAAGGGAGGGAGGGAGGGAGGGAGGGAGGGAGGGAGGGAAAGAAGCAGGGAGGGAGGGAAAGAAGCAGGGAGGGAGGCAGGGAAAGGAGCAGGGAGGGAGGGAAGGAAAGAGGGAGGGAGGGAGGGAGGGAGGGAAGGAGGAAAGGAGGGAGGGAGGGAGGAAAGAAGAAGGCTGCTTGTTTGCCTCTCCTGGTTGAAGAAGGATGGAGACCCCATGATCTATCTTGCCATACTTGGGAGAGACAGGTGCATCCCTAGAGATACAATGGAGTCATACACTATCTCTGAAAGCTTACAATCCTTAGCTTGCCTGCAGACGAACCCTGGTGCTACCTCAAAGGGTCCAGAGGTTTGCCTTGGCTACTGGAAGTTCAACTGCAATGTAACACTTCTGCTCTAGGGACCCCATGCTGAATCCTTAGAGAACAAAGATGATCATCAGGCACCTTGTTCAAGGAGCTCACAGGCTGGTAAAGAAGAGGGACCCTAAAGCAAAGGAGGAGAGTACAGAACCTAATCAGGCTAAGAAGGGAAGGAAGGACAGGGGCACAGATACATCTCTTACTGACTACTACCTCTGGGATTGATCGCCTATCCTGATAATGAAGTCCAGAAGATTGTGGAGGCCTGAAAGAAGGTAAACAAACAAGGTGAATGTGGCCTGCACTGCTCTAATGCATAGTACTGTAACCCAAGTTATAGCAAGACAGGGTTACCGCAAGGCTGATGACCAATGGGATGGCAGCAGTATAAGAGCCCCCTCCCCCCCGGAATGATAATAAATCTTAGAAGAGCTTACTGTGCAGTGTCTCTTTTCTTTGAGCATATTCTCTGTCTCACTCAGGAGCCTCATCCTTTCTCAGCCTCTGTCAAGCCGACTTTGCCAGCTTCAAAGGATAATTCTTTATTAGCTGTAACATGTAAGTGCGGATGTATTTGCTCATTCTAATTCAACAGGTCTTTCTAATTCTTTCAGTTTTATCTTAGCATTGTGGCCATGGTTTTGTAACAGGTTGTATGGTCTGCCCCAAACTGGGCTTTGCAAAAAACCAGGTATTTTTAATGCTCAACTCTGCAGAACACAAGCTGTTTCAGGAATACACATATCAACACATACATGCTGCATGACATATGTACATCAAAACAGAAATGTTATCAGTTTAGCAGCGACTTTTCCACTTGGTATTGTTTGCCTTCCCATCGAAATTCTCTGAGGTAATAAACAATCACCATCATCATCTTCCACATGACAAAAAC